TAATTTCAAAACAAAATTTTAAATCAGTATCATAGAGTAGAATATGATGTCCACCAAGATATATAAACAGAAAAAACTTCAAAAGACTATATAATATAAGCACATTATTACAGAGTAACAATTTAATCAAAACAATGACATCTGCACTATGGATGTAGCACATGTTGGAAGTACGATTAATGCATATGAGTAATGAGATTTATGACCAAAATATCAGTATATTTACTTAGACATATTATAATATATAATATACAAAAATTAATCAATATAAACTTTAAAATTTATATATTTTCTGTCTTAAACACATTTACCTTTCTCTTATAAATAACATTTCAGATATAATCATAAATTTATCTTTTATTTAAAACTGGGGAAAGAATCATATGAGTTGTGATTTTTAAATACTCATGTATTTTATACATGAAGTTCATTTTTAAATTCTATGGAAAATATAATTTAACTCTGCTGAATATTATGTATTTAAATGCTTCCAGATTCTTTATCATCACAACCTTGACAATTACCTCAGGATACTAAGTGACCAATACGTAGCCTACAAAAGCATGCCGTTCCTTTGGCTCAGTAGGCCATGTCAAGCACTGGATTCAATTACTAAATTAAAAAAATACTTTATTCGACTTTTGTACTATAATTTCCTTTTCATTTTTTTTCTACTTGGATACATTGACTTTCTTCCCATTTCACAGTGGAGAATGAAGTCATCTACCTTTTTTTTTTAAATTTTATTTTTCTTTTTAGTTACATTTTGTTAACTGTGTCCCAGCTGTATCCCGCTCCCTCATTCCCTCCCCAACCCCACATTCCCACCCTGGTCTCTTCCCTGCTTCTTTCCATGTCCATTGATAGGGGAGGACCTCCTCCCCTTTCATTTGACCCTGTTTTATCAGGTATCTTCAGGGCTGGCTGCAAAGTCCTCCTCTGTGGCCTAACAGGACTGCTCCTCTTCTAAGACAGCTTGGCAGGTATGTTTGTTTGTTTCTACCCTATGATTAGGAACTTATTACTTCAGATATGAAACAGTCCAACTTTTTCCACATTGAATGTCTTTCTTGTGATTTCCATTTTTTCTACCCACGTGAACAGGCAAGCTTCTTATAAGTATTATCAAAGAGGGGAAATAAGCCTTGTAGTTGTGTCTGACACTTGTAAACCATTTCTGATTAGTCTCTCTCGGAATCATATTGGCAAAGCGGCATGCAATGACATGTGTTTTTTGGTTCAGTTTCCCCAAAGCATTTCACGCATTGTAAGTGTACTTTAGCACATAATGCCATATTCTAACTCTCAAGACATTTATGTTTCTCCAATAATTCTGGGGGACCTTAATTTGGATTGGGGTAGGTGAATGGTGAAAATACATGTTTCTTTCTTCCTTTATTACAGTTCTTGGATTCTTCAGCAACCAAGACAAACCCCTTAAGCACCCTTCTATAGCTGAGAAAATCTCAAGGAATATTACAAACAGAAGCTCTTTAGGGAATTTAGATACTGTTTTTGAGTGGGTTTATCACTACTAAGCCACAAAATCTACTCACCTGTTAATTCTCACAGCCTTATAATATAAATTTCCAAGTCAATGTTTACCTCATTTGTAACATGCATAACTAATTAATAATTTGACATTACATGCTTCATAAATATCAAACTTTATAGCCATCATTCTCTAAACAAAATTGGACAACAAAATTATTCACTTAAAGAAAAGGTGCTTTCAAAGAAACGAATAGCCGTCTGATCTATCTACTTTAGTCTAATAGAAAGGTCTTGTGAGTTTCCCCTCAGAGCATGGCTGAAGGTGAGGCTTTCCCTTTCCTTCCTTCTATGATCTTTACTCAAGAATATATGTTGTCTCATCACTCGTACTTAATTATGTAAATGCAAGATATATAATGACTACACTATATACATATAATGGTATATGCTAACTTTTTTCTAACAGTTCTTTAAGATCTGCAATAGTTAATTACGTGTTTTTTTTTCTTTTTTTTTCAATTTTTTTTATTAATTACACTTTATTCATTTTGTATCCCCCCCATAAGCCCCTCCCTCCTCCCCTGCCGATCCCACCCTCCCTCGCCTTTCTGCATGCATGCCACTCCCCAAGTCCACTGATAGGGGAGGTCCTCCTCTCCTTCTTTCTGATCTTAGTCTATCAGTTCTCATCAAAAGTGGCTGCATTGTCCTCTACTGTGGCCTGGTAAGGCTGCTCCCCCCTCAGGGGGAAGTGATCAACGAGCAGGCCAATCAGATTATGTCAGAGGCAGTCCCTCTTCCCGTGGTTTTTATTACCTACTGAGATACAGTTCCCTCCATTTGATTCTCCTGAGAACATGTCCCAATTCTCTTTCAGATGCTCTTTTTTTTTCTGTTTGTTTTTCTATTTTCTAAGGAAACAAGCACTTGTATCACTGACTTCTCCCACATTATATACATATTTAGAAGTTAACCACTTCGGGTAAATTTGGAAAGATTCTCCTGTGGGAAACATTTCATTATCATATTTCAGTGACATAACTAGTGATTCTTTCCTAAATATCTTGATGTCAGCATGTTCTCTGCAAACTTCATCCTGTGTTCACTCACTGCTGGGCTAGCCAGAGTCTGAGTCCTGTACTACTCTGTGATCATTATTGTTTGTTCCATTATTTGCACAGGTGAATCTTTGGTCCTCATCTAAGTACTTGTCAAAATTAGAACTTTAATACAAATGTTATTATAGAAAAATGAATGTATTCTAATACTCCACAAAGACTTGAAATAAAACTACACTTTTCTCCATTTTCCATCTCTCTTTTGTATATTAGATGGCAAGTTTCCAAAATAAAATTAAAAATACTTTTAGAATGAGTGTTCAATTTTATTTCTTGATCAGTGTCTTGAATATACACTCATATAATTAAGATGCTAATAGTTTATATTTATAGGCTATTTACTCACATTTTATGTCTGGAATTCTGTGAGCACAACAATAGTCACATGGCTAAATTTTATTTTGGATATAATAATGCATCATCATTATTACTTCTCTACCTTATGCTTCATAGGGTATTATTTTTGATAGGCCACATAAGTAGATTTGAGGTACAATATGATAATATGGTGCGTTTACCACATAGTGTGATAAAATTTCCATTTTCCTCTTAAATATTTATCATTACTATTTTGAGAAAAGTAAGGCTCCTTTCACTTAGTTTTTATAAAAAATTATATTACCATCTCTTTATGGTGATGTAACTGTGTGTTTACACCTACTAAAACTCTTACTTATTACTTTCCATAAATCTTCCTTTTTGTTTATAAAGCACTTAGATTTTGTTTGAAATTATGGAGAATGGCTGACTAAAGCCAATCGTAATTTCATTTTCCTATTTTAACAAATATGAGAATTCAGGAGGTTGAACAAGCTTGGGAGTCCTTTGTCAGCTACATTGATTCAGTTTGAGATTCTACATAATTCACGTTTAGGAGACATGCAAAGAATGTGATTACCACAAACATAATGTCATTGTAGAAGAGGTTATTGGTATTTCAAATTTGCAAGGACAAATTAATTGATACATGATACTATATCCAACCACGTTTATGTAGAAAAATCAATCATATCCCTTGGGAAAAATTTATGCATATACATATGCATATATATATATATATATATATATATATATATATATATATATATATATATCAAGTGCAATTGAGGTGAATAAATTTTAACTTCTTTTTTTAATTTTATTTTTCTTATTAGTTACAGCTGGGACACAGAGTTAACAAAATTTTAACTTCTTAAAGTCACATCTGTAAAATGAGTAGCTCTTCCCTGCCAAAATTCCAAGAATATAATGTGATATTACAGGGGTACTTTTCAAATTTATAAAAGAATAACAACAGAAGATATCCATAATATTTCAGGAGGACCCTAACTTCCAAATTTCAAAACTAAAAAAAATATACAGTTTGAAGTATTTGTGAATAAATATTAGCAATGCTCAGTTACAAGTTCAATTTCTTTTAAATATTATAATCACTATAATGTAATTCAAAGAAAGATTAATTATATCAGACTTCATTCAACTTTACAAGACTAGCATATTAAAAAATATATTGTTGTCACCTTAAAATTATAAGGTAAATAATACAACCAGTGTGACTTTTTTTCTCAGTTGAAAAATATTATGTTCTAATAATGATACTATGTTACAAGTGAAATAGGCCATATTTTTATGAATGAATATTTTTGTTCTCATCACATAAATCATAAAATATATTAATATATGATACATATATATAACTTGTATCCATAAAACAAAAAATACTAAAACTTGAGAAATATGGTAATCTCCAACTAACAAAACTGAATATTATTTTGAAATGGTATATGTCCTAGCTTTATTGTCTTCATAGACTATATCTGAAAAGAACTTTAATAACATGGTAATTTCATTAGTATATTAATGTGCAATGAAAAAAAATATACCTGCCATAGAGATCACAGATTTGTTTGTAATAAAAACATTAAAACTTCTCTGATATATTTGACCCTCTTTGGAACTCCAGCTCTAGCTCTTTACAAAACTGAATTTTAAGCTCTTCTGCCTCTTCCAAAGTCAACTTCCTTGGTCAAGCATGGGTAAGCCTATCTTCTGCTGTGGACAAACCAGCCAGAACTGGAAAACATGTTCCAGGTCATTGGCAAAGAAGTCTATGAAAAATGTTTCTTCTAATCTTCCCCAATTTTTTTACAGGTGCATTTTCATCTGTCTTTCTTACCTTTAGTTCTCTTCCTCTGTTTATCACCCCCAACTCAATGCTACTGCTCTAGATAGCAAAACATTTTCTTTAAAAAAAAAAATCCCATGTTAAGAAGAACTATGAAACTTCATTAGGACATGCAACAATAATCAGGACTAGAGCATAAAAATGACATTTCTGCTCATCTAGTTTAATTTTTATTGTCAGTAAGATATAGCACAGGTGCTTACCTTTAATAATGTTGGGCTTTGGGGGCATGCTGAACTCATATACGGTGGGCTCAGAATACCCCAGTCTGTTGGCAGCTGTGATTTGCACTTCATAGCCCATTGTCCACTGCAGATGCTCCAAAATAATGTGGTCTTTGTTTCCCTGGACCTTCTTCTCCAGCCACTGATCTTCCTTGTCTTTCTGTGGAAGTACAGAAAGGAACTTTAGGTAAATATTGCAATATAAAGGTTATATTTTAAATATTTTGGAATGACGTAAATAGTTTTATTACCTCAATTTTCAAGAAATTGATAGATAAGTGAATTTACTAACATAATGAATAAAGTTTCATTTGTGATATTTGTCTACATAAGCATCAATACATTAGCCAATGACTGATGATTTTGCAAATTAATTATGGGGTAGTAAAATTCAACTTATTTAATTTTATTTTTTATTTTCATGCACAAACTTTGTTCACATGTATACCTACCTGTGTTTAGAAGAGGGCATTAGATATTATATAATTGCAGTTACCTGAAAATTGTGAGCCTGAAAATAACTGTGTTGGTCACTAAACCTTGGTCCTCTGCAAAGGTAGTTAGTATCATAACCACTGCGACAATTTTCTAGTCCTTGTTTTAATTTTTAAACTTATTTTTACTTATGTTTCGGTAGTATAAAGACAAGAGACACATAAAGCTGTTGATATTTGAATTATCTTTTGTCTGTGGCATGAACCAAATAATTAAGGATAGTCTATGAAACTCTTATCTGGGGCTACACATGATATTTACTTTATATTTGAGGAAAGTCACATATGAAAACCTTAGATTATGTCAGCTGATATCTAGATTATTCCAGGGCAAATGTTGTTCTTCAAATACCTCCTTATTTTGTGTATGACTCCAAAACTGTCCAAAAATATAAATTATGGCATTTTAACACTTTTATCTAAAGTTTCTAATTTTTTAACATTCTATAATTGAAATTCAAACATAGTTTCTTCTGAATTACTAATCATGTAACTTTTAATTCCTTAAAATCCTTTTTTTATAATTTATTTAATTTTATTTTATGTGCACTAGTATGAAAGTGTCAGATCCCTTGGAACTGGCATTTCAGACAGTTGTGAGCTGCCATGTGGACGCTGGGAATTCAACCTGGATTCTTTGGAAGAACAGACATTGCTCTTAACCGCTGAGCCATCTCTCCAGCCCTTACAGCCTTAATGTAGTATATTAAAACCTTATGTCACTTTACGCTGGTAATATAAACGGCGAGAGGAGTGGCAGTTCTCCCACAGAAATCAACTTCATTTTCCATTCAACGTAAGACAAGGAGGTATTTTAATCCCCTAACTGCTACTCCTAGGGAATAGAAAAAAATTAAAGTGGGTGTTACCAAATACTCCTGGAGGCAGGAGAATCTCAATTATGCACATGTAGACTGCCTAATTTATAGAACAAGAGTGCCCAGGGAATGATTTAAGATAACTGGTGGCAAAGTGTCCCTCTAGGTAGCTTAATGAGATGATTTGCTGAGTAGGACTATTACTAATATGCCAATTAAACAGTGAAGAGTAGGTTCTTTTAAAAATAGTTATGGTGGCTGAGTAAAACTTGTATCAACCTATCAACCTTTTTTTTTTTTTTTTTTTAAAGAAATAAGAAGACCATGTGACAGTTAAGGCAGAACTTCAGTAACATTGCCCATAGTAATGTAAATACTTAGGGGATTACTGCCTCTGTTCTACATAAAGGACTATGTTTTGTGAGTGTAAAGGATATTCTTGATGCCCTCATTCTGAACAACAAGTAACTCTTTACCTTTCTTAAGACTTTGTAGTAACAATAGCCAACACAATATTATATAAAATGAGAGTCAAAACACTCAAGATCATAATACAAATATGCATTTGGGTTTGTCTAACTTCTGGAATCTATGACTTACGATTCATATGATTAGAAAGCAATTGTCGATATCTAGGATTTCTTGCTCACATGATCTGTTTACTCACTGTACGTATGTCCTTACAGAAGTAATCAGAATTCCTGAAAATTAAGTTTTCTATTTGCTACTTTGAATGTATAAATACTTGCCACCAGTTCTGATACCTCCCAATTACAGGATTATTTGTAAATAAATAACTTGAGTAAACAGGTTGGTTCATAGTTATATTAGTTTATTTAGGCAAAGTGCCTATTTTATAATATCAATACTAAGATAAATAAAACTTATCTTCTTCTTTGATAGCATAAAGAATAAGAAAAATAAATTGTTCCATTTCTTTGCCTGCAAATTTCGTGATTTCCTTTTTTTAATAATTAAGTATGACATATACTCACTTATAAGTGGATATTAGCCATATAACATAGGATAAAGTTACTGAAACCTACAGACCCAAAGAAGCTAAACAACAAGGATCCTAGAGAAGATGCTCAGTCTCCATGTATGTTCCCTAATAAAAGGAGAAGAGGCAGTCTCTGACATAAATAGGTTGCCTGCTGCTTGATCGCTTCTCTCTGGTAGGGCCACCTCGCCAGCCCACAGAGGAAGAGGACCAAGGCAGTCCTGATGGGACCTGATAGGCTAGGGTCAGACAGTAGGCGAGGAGGACCACCCTATCAGTGGACTAGAGAAAAGAGATAAGGAAGGAAGAGAGGGAGGAGAAGACAACTAGAGAGGGGACTACTACTGGGATAACAAAGTGAATAAATTGTAAATATAATAACAACAACAACAATAATAATGAAAAAAATGCCCAAATGTTTCTTATTCTTTAATATTCATAACTACCATTTGAAATATTTCAAAATATTTATATATTGATGTATTTAAATACATTTCAATATACATGCTAATATACTTTGGAGGTAATATATTTTAATACACATCCTATTACTAGAAAATATTTTCCTTAATAATCAAAACTCAGTTTCCTTTATTCACTAACTTAAGACTATTTAATAAAGTATGTTTATCTGATCCATTTGGATATTATTATACATATCCAGATTCCAATAGATTAATAAGGTCAATTAAGACTTAATAATGTGTGCCCTAACCAGTGCTGCTGTTCCCAAAGTACCTTCCTAACATCTATTTTAAGCAACCAATTTTATTCAGTTCTTCTTAAGTTAGGAAAGATTTAACATGCCAACACTATGAAATAGTTATGATCTTTTTGCAACTACCAATTTAGAGAGAAATCTGTGAATAACTCACAAATTCATGAAAAAATTCAATTTTATGTAGCCACATTAATACTACAAATACATATAAAAATACATAAAATAGCATCTTGCATTTCCTCATCTACTTTCTTAGAGTAATAGACTTGTATTTATAATCAAATAACTTAACTTGTTTTCATAGTGTTATTGTTATAAATTTTAACTCCCCTAAAGTGTCCATAGAGACTTTGAACCCTGTTTTTAATCCTCTAGGTCTTTTCTAAAACATTCTGTTCTGTGTTCTTAATGGGTGAGTGAACAAACAATGTACTTTACAACAGTGTAACTTAGAATAATGTGTGTTTTCTGGTTCATAAGCTACACATAATTATTCTCTTTAAAAATATCTACAATCTTGTCTTAACTCAGTAAAAGTAAAATTAAAGGCATATATTCGCCTGCCCAGTAGACAGCAGGTGGTACATAAGGAATATGTGGTCTCAGTTATTCTGTTTCCATGTACAGCACAGTTGAAAGTTTAGCTAAACGAAGAAATCTAGTGAACATTTTAGTGGTAAGAGGTACTTAAAACACTTAAAATGCTTAAAAACAGGGCTGCAAAATATTGACTCTTCTCATCGGTTCACAAGACTGAATGCTCAGAGAAAAATCATGCCCTTGTACTCTCAGACAACTTGTGTTGCAGTAAGAGTAAATCTTTGGAGAACAGAATATCCTCCAATGAGTGCAACGTCCCTTAAATGGAGACTGCATCCTGTAGAACAAATGGTCTTATAAGACGTACATGGCCGAATAAGCAAATAGTTTTATCAGCTTTTGCAAATAACCAATAAAGTTGGTTGTAGTGCCTTTGCTTGGATGTGCTGTTCACTTTTTCTAAATTAAAAGACACATGGGCATAATGTAATAAAAATTTACATGGGTCCTCTAAGGCTATGGTAGACATTAACAAATTATTACACCATCTTGCAAGATAGAAATGTTCATATCAGGAATCCTAATATGGAAAAAGATCACTAAATTTATTTGTATGCTATTTAAATGTGGCCACTTTAACTACATTTTCTGATCATGATTTTTAGCATCTCTTGTCATTTGTATATTAAGGTATTTGACTGATTGTTATCTTCTCAGAAATGTTGGAGTCTAAGGTATTTGTTCTGAAACTCTCTTCACTTTTACAAGTTTCTTGATTATCTCAGCTATTTTTTTTCCTACAGCACTGATACAATTAATTCTCAGCAAGACATGACATGACACAAAGAAACTGACACAGGGAAGGAAAAAGAAACACATGGTAATGAAAATGTGAACGATCAAATACCTTGTAGGAATTTCTGAACATGCCCCAAAAGCACTAATTAATTACATGGTTAATATGAGCTAATATAGTGTGAGGCTACATTGAACATAGCTTCACTACGGGGATTCATGAGTCCTGAGAAACAAGCAGATGGGCAGCAGTGTATTTTCAAAAAAGAACAGAGGTTTTAATATCCTCAGAAATCCTTATGTGGATACAAATTCGGAGTACACAAGCTGTTGCTGTTGTAGTAGCCTAACAAATCAGGGTTGGCACAATCTCCATAGGCACATTATGTTTGTTCATTAATGCTTTCATAGTTTTTGTTTTTGTATTTATACAATATTTATTTTTATTTTTTATATATTGAAGATTTTATGATCATGATTCTTATACTATTGGTTCTGTACTCTGTCAGGAAACACAAATTCTCTACTGTCTATTGTTCCTTCAAAGAGATGTTAGAAAATATGCTCTATGTTTGGTTAATTGTAAAATGAATATTAATGAATGGTAAACAATATTCTTCTAAAATAACATAAGGGCAGCAAACAATTGTTTTGCAAAACTTGTAATAAAAGACTGGAATTCTATCATTAAAATAGTGCTCCCTGTACTGGAGACCATGAGATGTAATGTATAAGTAATTAGTAGTCAGGTATAGTTATATTTGAATTAACAGTCACCTCCAGTATGGAGTT